GGGTTGGGGAGTGGTGGGTTGATGGGAAGTGTTGGGGAGTGGGTTGGGGAATGGTGGGTTGATGGGAAGTGGTGGTGTGTTGGGGTGGTAGTTGGGGAAGGTTGGGGAGTAGTAATGGTGGGGGGGTGGAGGAGAGGATTATGGGGAGGGTAGATAAAGAGATGGTGGGTTGGTTTGGGTGGGGAGGATAGTTGATAGTAGTGGGGAGGATAGAAGATAGTAGTGGGGAGGATAGAAAGTAGAGAGGTATTAGGGATGATAGTGGGATAATGGTGGTAGTTGTGGTGGATGGTGGTAGGGGGTCAGTGAGTGTCGGAGGAAAGAGAACACAGATTTAATAGATTTTAGTGAGTTATGGGAACATCAAGTGAACGACAGACTTAACTGCTGCCGATCAGAGGAGGAAATAAATATGTTTTAACCTTTTTTTTTATATTTTCTTTTTACAATATTAATGATAGTTATAGTCTCTCTCTCTCTCTCTCTCTTCGTTCAACCTCCATCTCACTTTGTATATGCCTGTGTGTGTGTGTGTGTGTGTGTGTGTGTGTGTGTGTGTGTGTTGCTATTGTACCTTCCTAACAATAGACCTTTAATACAATACAACTCCTGAGACAATAAACATATTCCCTCCTTATCATCCCCTCAATCAACTCATTCTTGACATAACTTCTTAAGATACCTCAAGTTATACCTCGAGAATGACTTAGAATACCACGTAGTTATGATTCAAAGGCAATTGATAGTCCAACACACTCAAGTTATAACTCAAAAAAACCAGCTGATACTCCAACACATTCAAGTCAAGTTATAGCCTCAGAACAAGTAACACTATTACCTGTGTGTATAGGTAAACACGACCTCGTAATCACCATATAAATCAATGTTACTTAATGATCACCAATAATGCAAGTACTTCCTGTTCACCTCAGGCTCCCTACACCACAGCCCCGACCACAGAACTGACACACGCCCACCACCACCACCATCACCACCCAAGGTTTTTATGGGCGTGGGGGGTGTAGGGGTGGGCGTGGGGAGGAAGTACAGTACATACCTTTATCATTATCATCAAGGGCGCGCGGATGGGAGTTTGGGAGAGTACACGCCTATATTATATCATACTAGGCGTGGTGGGCGTGGGATATGAGGGATGTACACGCCTCTCCTTTTCTCCTTCCTTTCTCCGTCTTTTTCTCTCTCTCCCACCTCTCCTCCTTCCCTCCCTCTCCACCCCCACCCCCCACCCGACCCCTTCCCTCCCTCCCTCTCCCTCCTTCACCCGTGTAAGGAAAGAACGACTTTACCAATTACAGGGAAAGTAACACGGCAAGTCAATCGGCCTTTAACCCTCATTAACTACCACTCCAGTACAAGATAAACACCAGGTACTCCACTGATCGACATAAGTGAAGCTGATGGGCAGGTAAGCAGGTGGAGTTACCTACACCGTCTTTACTCCAGGTACTATCTCAGTCTACACACCTGAAGATTATATGACATACCTATAGTTTATTTCATCCGGTAATTAAACACCTGAACGCTTTATACCTGGAGGGATTTGGTTGGTGTTAGGTTAGGTTAGTGTTGGGGTGGGTTAAGTTAGTGTTAGTGTTAGGTTAAGTTAGGTTTCTTCAGTAGGTAATATATTTCATCCTTACTATCAAAAACATCACTTGAACTCCGCATGTAAACAAACAAAAAAGTAAACAAACAAAAAGGTAAACAAACAAAAAGGTAAACAAACAAAAAAGTAAACAAACAAAAAAGTAAACAAACAAAAAAGTAAACAAACAAAAAAGTAAAAAAACAAAAAAGTAAACAAACAAAAAGGTAAACAAACAAAAAGATAACCAAACAACAAGACAGACTCACCCCCCCCCCAGCTGTTCTTACCTGACATAACAACAACAACTGATTGAAAGAAAGAAGAAGAAGAAGAAGAAGAAGAAGAAGAAGAAGAAGAAGAAGAAGAAAAAAAATTGAATTGTTCCTAATGAAAGAATTTCCTATCACTGTTTATATCAAGGGAGAGAAGACAGCGATTGAAAGAAGACAACAAATGAAAGAAGAAAATGAATGAAAGACTAAATACAACATATTGTCTTCATTCTTCTTCATATACTTTTTTCTTTTCTTTTTCGTTTTTTTTATTAAGTTTCAAGTCATTAATCTCTTCAAGCTTCTCTCTGGTGGAATGTGGTGTAAGACAACTACTAATTGTTTTATCTCTAGAAGGGGAAGAGATAGAGGAGATAAAGAGAGAGAGAGAGAGAGAGAGAGAGAGAGAGAGAGAGAGAGAGAGAGAGAGAGGACGTCAACAAAACACTAGCTAAGTTATGGTCATCAGCTGATCGTAAAGTACACCATTTGGTTTGTTTACATCATGTTACTATGCTCCTCTTTTGTTTACATCATGTTACAATGCTCCTCTTTTGTTTACATCATGTTACTATGCTCCTCTTTTGTTTACATCATGTTACTATGCTCCTCTTTTGTTTACATCATGTTACAATGCTCCTCTTTTGTTTACATCATGTTACAATGCTCCTCTTTTGTTTTATATTGAGAGTATTACTGGAAAACGTTCATATTATTTCTCTTTTATTCTCTAGTTATTCTCGTTATTTATCTCTCTCTCTCTATTTAATTTGTGGGTTTCTTTATTTACACGAATGAGAATATATTACATGATAAGATTTTAATTATTATTCTGTCTGTCTCTCTGCTCTCTCTCTCTCTCTGCCTCTTTCCTCACTTTTCTTCTTTTATGTCTTTATTAAACCCCATTTCCATTTTCTCTTCCTACCTTCCTTCCCATCATCTCATTCTCTTCTCCTCTTCCCTTCATACCTCTTCCTTACCATCCCATCCTTTCCAACTTATCTCTTTCTCTCTCTCACTTTCCCATTTATCACATTCCTCTCCTTCCCTTTTCCATCATTACTCCTTCTTCCTTCCTTCTTCTCTCTCACCCCTTCACCCTTCCCTCCCTTCCAACCCCTCCGAACCCCAACCTTCCCCCCCCCCTCCATCCCACCCTCTCCCCCTTCCTTATAGCTGGCATCTCGACTTTGCTGCAGCTGCGCTCTTAGATGACTGGCACGACACACACACACACACACACACACACACACACACACACACACACATACACACACACACACACACACACACACACACACACACACACACACACACACACACACCAGTTCAGTAGAAATATCAAGGCTTGTTTATCCCAAAAAGGCGTGAAATTTTAAAAGATATTTCAAAGGAATGAGGAGGGAGGAGGAGGAGGAGGAGGAGGAGGAGGAAGCCACGAGCACGAGAGTTGTGTGCCTGTGTGCTGCTTGAGAGAGAGAGAGAGAGAGAGAGAGAGAGAGAGAGAGAGAGAGAGAGAGAGAGAGAGAGAGAGAGAGAGAGAGAGAGAGAGAGAGAGAGTTAAGATAGAGAGATACAATGGCTGAGAGAGAGAGAGAGATAATCAGTTAGAGTGAGACACAGACAGACAGATACACGAGAAGAGAGTGAATAAAAAATAATTGCTTCTCCAGCGCCTCTAATACACATACATAAAAAAAAAATATTATGAAATTTACTTAACTATAACAATACTTTTTGGGGGGAGGTGGAGGAAGAAGAGGAGGAAGAAGAGGAGGAAGAAGAGGAGGAGGAGCAAGAGGAAGAGGAGTGAGTGAGTGATGATGTTACCTCTCTCTCTCTCTCTCTCTCTCCAGAAGAACAAAATTGTCCTCACTACTAATACTGTCAATATAAATAAAGATGAAAACGCACACACACACACACACACACCCAAAACTACCCACCCCCTCCCCCTCCTCCCTCAAAAAATCACCAAACGAGTCACCAAGCGAGTCACCAAACGAGTCACCAAGCGAGTCACCAAGCGAGTCACCAAACGAGTCACCAAGCGAATCACCAAGCGAATCACCAAGCGAGTCACCAAGCGAATCGCCAACCATTATATGTATAGATTCTTGTCACTCATTTGATAGTTAAACAGCACTGATCACCAAGCGTTATATCACGGCTGTCACCATTATCCAGGAAGGAAATCACCATTATTACCCCCATGATCACCTCACCTGGTCACGACACACAACGCTTGGTGCACTCCTGTTCTCTCTCGTCTCACCAGGTTACGTTATCACCAGTTATTAATATAAATGATTCAGTGGTGCAATATTATTCACTTCAACGCGGTATTTCTCACTTCAAGGCAATATTCCTCACTTCAACGCGGTATTTCTCACTTCAAGGCAATATTCCTCACTTCAACGCGGTATTTCTCACTTCAATGCGATATTACTAATAATACAATAGGTCAAAAATAAGTACTGTACACACAAATACGTACACACACACACACACATACACACACACAAATACAATCATACACACACAAATACAAGCATATACACACACACAAATACAAACGTACACACGCAAATACAAGCATACACACACATAAATACGCACACACACACACACACACAAACATACACACATACACCATTGGTTCAGAAGGACATATTCCGACCTCTGCAAAAGTTCATGTCTGAGAATATTTGATTTAATTCTCTCGGTGGACAATATGACGATGATTTATGAAGCGTAATTTTCTTGGTAATATCTGCTGTTTAGGTTCGTGTTTGTCAGTATTTTAGTTGTTGTTGTTGTTGGTGGTGTTGTGTTTGTAATTGTTGTTGTTTGTGTTGTTGTTGTTGTTGTTGTTGTTGATGGTGGTGGTGGTAGTGGTGCTGTTTGTAATTGTTGTTGTTATTGTTATTGTTATTATTGTTCTTAGTATTGTTATTAGAGTTGGTATTTTATTATTATTATTATTATTATTATTAGCAGTAGTAGTAGTAGTAGTAGTAGTAGTAGTAGTAGTAATAGTAGTCGTAGTAGTATAACGTAATGGCGGCTATACACAAAAGAAAACACCTGACAGAACATAACACAATCGTAATTACCTTTTATAATCAGAACAGGTAAGAACGTCATCCTTTAGGGAGAGAAAAATAAAAAAAATCGATAAGTAACTCAGAATAAATTTGACCTAATGACACTCATCTGGTCCCCGGCTCAAGTATATAAGAAATAAATTAAAATAAAAGAATAAGTTATTTTTTTATTATTTTTTTTATCTGTAGTGAGGTATGGTGATTACTTATGGTAGTTAGAACATCTGAATATATGCCAGTAATAACATCATCAATAACTACAATAACAACAGCAATAACAACGAGTTTTAGGTAAATGAAAATGTTCCTCGGCAAATATTCTCTAACGAAAATAAATTGTATATATTTTTCAATATTTTTCACCTTAAATAATAATTAGTTCTCGTTAAATATATTAAAATTGCAAACTATATTATAATATCACTAAATACTCTGGAACGAATATAAGGAATAAGATTTTTCGCTTAATAATTTTCCAGTAAATATATATAATAATAATTATTTTTTTCACTAAACTTAATAACTCTAGATAATACATTACCTATATTTCACTAAAAACACATCACTAAATATCTTTCACAAACATTCAATAATTATAATATCTCACTATATAGATTCTTAACTAATATATTTTATTTAACATTCTCAACACGGTGTAATAATTAATATCACTTAAAACTTTTCTGGACACTCGACTGTAATTTCTTATTCACTAACGGGAGAAAATATTTATATAACATCCAGGTTCACTAGTGGACATAATAATAACACAGACACACACAATAAGTTCCATAAAAAAAAAGAAAAAAAAACACCTGAAAGAATAAATGACAAAACAAAATCCTCTCGTCCTGCGCGAATTGTCACTTGAACTCAATTGTCATTTCATTACGATATCGTCCTTAATAATGTGTATTTAAACTTATCAGGCGACTATTACGATTATTTTTACTTTTATTTCGAATTTGTTCATAATATTTGATACGATTTGATAAGGGAAAAAATCTTACCTTTGTTTTTCTTATAAAGGTTATATAATTCGTTGGAGTTATTTCCAGGTTATGTAGTAAAGTTAAAAGGAATATTTCTCACTATAGTTTTATAAGATACAGTGTTAATAGTGAAGAATGATATACTATATATATTTAACAACACTTGGTTCATCTACATTACTTTATTCTTAAGGGCACTTAAATGAGGTTACTTATACTTTATAATGCCTATTTAGTTTCTATATTTTTAGGGGTGTATATATACGGGTTATAATATACTGTATTTACATGAGGGTTTCTATACACTTAACATATAATACACTTGAAAGCATATACACTTTACAACACCTACACTTTTTTAACAATTATATTTCACAACACCATCACTAAACAACACTACATCACCACAAAACACAACACCATCACAACACCTACTGTACACGACACAGCATCATCACAACACAACACTACACCAACACAACACCATCACCAACACTACACCAACACAACATGCTCATCACAAGAAAGTTCCCCAGCACAGGTAAAAAAATTTAACTAAAACTTACAAGTATTTTTCTATTCCCGTCTTGTTGATTGTATCTGCCTCGCTCACCTGGATGCTCTCTCTCCACACCACTACCACCACCATCACCATCCTCTCTCTACCCTACTATCTTCACCCTCTCCTTCTCTACCTCCCTCCTACACTACCACCACCACTATCACCTCCCCCTCTCTCTCTCTCTCTCTCTTTCTCTCTCTATCTCACCACCTCATCTTTCCTCCATCCCCCAAGAGGGCATGAGAGGGCAGGTGAGGGAGTGTGAGGTGAACTCCTGTTAAGACGGTGTTCAGCCTCCCCACTCCCTAATTACGTCAGGTGAGATGCTGACCACCTCTCCTGTATCAGTTTCACTCGACAGGACGGACCATAAACACTGCTCTCTCTCTCTCTCTCTCTCTCTCTCTCTCTCTCTCTCTCTCTCTCTCTCCAGGTGCTAAGAAGAATATAATAATACCTTAAAAATCGCTCAATAAACGGAGGGCAGTGAAGGTGGTTTCATATTTTCCATCCCCACATATCACGATCGCTAAGGTAAAGTGGATTAGATATTATGACGTAATTATCAGGTAAAGATTGGTGATTACGGGACACCTTCATGGTCTCCTCTACCTCCCAGCCAGCTATAGAGTCTTTACTTCATGGCCTCCTCTACCTCCCAGCCAGCTATAAGTCTTTAGGCCTCCTCTACCTCCCAGCCAGCTATAGAGTCTTTACTTCATGGCCTCCTCTACCTCCCAGCCAGCTCCCAGCTATAGAGTCTTTACTTCATGGCCTCCTCTGCCTCCCAGCTAGCTATAGAGTCTTTACTTCATGGCCTCCTTTAGCTATAGAGTCTTTACTTCATGGCCTCCTCTACCTCCCAGCTAGCTATAGAGTCTTTACTTCATGGCCTCCTCTGCCTCCCAGCCAGCTATAGAGTCTTTGCTTCATGGCCTCCTCTACCTCCCAGCCAGCTATAGAGTCTTTACTTCATGGCCTCCTCTACCTCCCAGCCAGCTATAGAGTCTTTACTTCAAGCCTCCTCAACCTCCCAGCTAGCTAGAGTCTTTAGCCATGGCCTCCTCTGCCTCCCAGCCAGCCTTCATGGCCTCCTCTACCTCCCAGCCAGCTATAGAGTCTTTACTTCATGGCCTCCTCTACCTCCCAGCCAGATATAGAGTCTTTATGGCCTCCTCCTCCCAGCCAGCTATAGAGTCTTTACTTCATGGCCTCCTCTACCTCAGCCTATAGAGTCTTTACTTCATGCATACCTCCTCAGCCAGCTATAGAACGCCTGAGAAACTGAATGAGGAGCCGCTTGTTGGAGTTATGTTTTGCTGTCTAAAGCGCAACGCGGCGAGCAGTCGGGATCAGGCCTCCTCTCTCTCTCTCTCTCTCTCTCTCTCTCTCTCTCTCTCTCTCTCTCTCTCTCTCCCTCCCCCTCTCTCCTTTCCTCTCTCTCTCTCCCTTCCTCTCCCTCAGTCACCACTCCCCTACGCTCTCTCCCCTACTATCCTCCCACTCTCTCTCTCTCTCTCACTTATCTTCCTCCTACTCCTGTTCCTCATCCACCACTACTGCACCAACTTTTTTTCTCCTCTCCTACAACTACAGCTCTTGTCCTCGATCTTACTAGCGGCTCTCAAGGACAATATCGCCCACAAAGTCAGCTCTCAGAATAAGCCGAGTCGGTGGTGGTGGTGGTGGTGGTGGTAGTGGTGGTAGCGGTAGCGGTGGTAGTGGACCGGTAGCTTGGGGCCCTCCTCTCCTCTCCTCTCCTCTCCCCTCCTCTCCTCAAACCCACAAACATCACCACTACCATCACTCTGTCACCTTCATCAACATCCACTAACCAAAACCTAACCTAACCTAACCTCGATGTTGAAATAGGATCCAAACACTTCACCTCAGAATTAACATTGAAAGGCAAGTCATTACATCAATTTAACATCATCAAAGTAACATTATATAGTAGATAATTGAGTGAATTCCTCCTTTAATTTACAAACTATAGTAAGATCCTTCCTCATCTTTATCCCCATGACTCTATTGGTGTTTATTTTCACTACCATTACACACCACACTACCATAACACACCACTACCATAACACACCACTACCATAACACACCACACTACCATAACACACCACACTACCATAACTCACCACACTACCATAACACACCACACTACCATAACACACCACACTACCATAACACAACACTACACACACTACTACCATAACTCACCACACTACCATAACTCACCACACTACCATAACACACACTACCATAACTCATCACACTAACACATAACCACCGCACACACACCACTACCATAACTCACCACACTACCACACCACTACCATAACACACCACTACCATAACTCACCTACCATAACTCCACCACCACTACCATAACTCACCACACTACCATAACTCACCACACTAACTCACCACACTACCATAACACACCACACTACCATAACACACCACTACCATAACACACCACCACTACCATAACACACCACTACCATAACACACCACACTACCATAACACACCACACTACCATAACACACCACTACCATAACACACCACTACCATAACACACCACACTACACACCCACACTACATAACACACCACACTACCATAACACACCACACCATATACACACACTACCATAACACACCACTACCATAACACACCACACTACCATAACACACCACTACCATAACACACCACTACCATAAAATAGTCGGTTCACTCAAAAAAATAACCTCGATTGTTGACTAAGAAGAAAATCCGCTAAAATAATATCATCAGAATTTTAAATAATTTTTCTTACAATTTTATAATGTGAAATATAACACAATAACACACTAACACATAACATAATCCTTGGTTTAATAACTACTAAAAATATTCTCCCGTTGTTATGTTCTTCAATAGACAGATTTACTATGTATTAAATAGCAAATATAAATAAATGAAGAAGTTTTATTTTATCTCAATTATAATTTTAGTGTATTTATAATTATCCAAAAATCATAATTAAACACAATTTCCTAAACCAATTTAAACCCAAAACTTAAATAAAAAAAAAAACCCACTAAAACAACTCTTAGACACGAGTTAAAACAATCCTTTATACTCTTCCCAGAACTAGCAACTGCAGTAATAGCAATAATAATAACAATAATAATAGTTCAATCAATAGCCATGATGTGACATTAGACGAGAGGAGTTATCATAAGTAACTCCAATATGTATGTATGTATGTATGTATGTATATGTATGTATGTATGTATGTATGTATGTATGTATGTATGTATGTATAGTAGCGGGAGTAACATGTGTTGTTTCAGCGTTGTGGGGGGGGGAGGAGGGAGGGAAGGGAGGGGAGGGGGAGGGGGAGGGGAGGGGGGAGGAAGAAAAAGAGGAGGAGGTAGGAGGAGGAAGGAGGGTGGGTGGTGTAGATGATGAAAGAGAATAACTAAACGTGTAAG